GTAACGATTTGATTGGAAAAGAGGCTGCCTGTGATCGGGTAGTGAAAAATTGCCAGGAACTCGGTACGTCGGGTCGCGGTGGCTCGAAGGGTTGAGCAACGGGGTTAACCGGGTCCGAGACACCGTAATCGGGGTTACGAGAGGTTTTTTCCTCGCGATAGGAGCTCGGGCGAACGGTGCGTAAGTAATGCATCTGGCTACCTGCCAGCTCGGGGCTATCCTTCGCCAGCCCGCTCGTTTCTGAATGAACAATAGAAAATGTCTGGCCACTCGCGGCGCTGCGTCGTTAATGAATACCTTGAATCGGCCTGGCCTCGAGTTCACCGTGCGTTTACAGGTGCACTCTGCGTACACGTGGAGAGGAGACCGAAGTGGTCAAGCAGAAGACGGCTCCCAAATGGTCCCCGCGTTGATGCGCGCGTCGAAATGCAAAGGGAAGTTGTCACTGCTCGTGTAACCCGGGGGGTGGGGGGCGATAAATTTCTGTCTCCAAATGACTCCACCACTTTCGCTATTAGCGACGATCGTAACTCGGTATTTTTAATTTCTTTTTTTATCTAACCTCAAATAATAAGTTATACATTCTCATACGTAGAGTTAGATTAATTAATTACGATTTGAAATGGAATTTAAAAAATTTTGTAATGTAAAATATTGCTCGCAAGAATAACTTTCATTTTGTTTTATACAGAATACTACTTTTTAAGAGTGTTATGTATAAAAATAAAATATAACCAGTAATTACGTACGCGTTTAACAATTCTGTTACAAAACCTAACCTCGATCGACGTAGTAATTGCGAAAACGTGGCCCAGATTCACTATTGATATTTATTTGCCTTTCGTTTTAATTGTATTCTCGCAGACGCCGGCCGTGCAACGATTTGAATTTCAATGGAGTGGGGCGTTCGAATTTTTATTTCTGTCCAATTTTGTCTAATCCCGGCGCATTCTTCGTTTGCTCGTGTATATTACCACGCTCGCAGCTACAAATAATTGACAGAGACGTATGAATAATTCAGTATGAAACGCAATTACCTTTTATTCGCGTTTAATATTTATAAGCGCCATAGAAATTCTCATTAGCGTCGGAAAATCAGCACCTCGTGCAATTGTTTATAAATACAAACATAGGACGCGAGTACGTTTAAGAAAGAGGTACGAGTTTCTCAGTGTTTTCCTTTGATTAAAAAATCAATTATCGTTGTCGTGAGCGCAAACAAAAGTGGCAGTTTTCAGATAGCGATAAAAAGTTCTTTACTGGGTGTCTCGACAATCTCCGTACACTGACGATTATTTTTTTTTCAAATTCTTCTCGTTCCAAAATAGTTCGATATTAAATCACAATGCACGTTTCAAACTTTCGCTGGAATATTTAAAATGTTTATACGCGGAATTTATGTAAACTAATTGTTAGTTAAAAAAAATAGTAAATAACAAATAAGATAGAAATCACAATTAAAGGATAACAAATTTATTTTGGTCGATAAATATTACCGTCGAAATTCTAAAGTAAAGTAATATTTCACGAGGAACAAACGAAAGCAGCAAATAAACGCGGGGTATTTTTGTTCGTCGTATATTATCCGAGAAAGGGGAGAAAAAAAGTGGTGGTCTCTGTTTCGTCCCAGATCCGTTGGACCCGTTCAGTTGAACCCTGGGAAAAATTTTAATGGGAGATTCTGGAGGCCAAAATAAAACAAAAATGAAGAATATCAATTTGTTGATGGAGGCTTCGTTAAAAAGTTATTAACAATTAAATTTAAAAATTTCAAATCGTTCTGGAAAAATTATTTTCGGTTGCGGGGGTCAATTACAATCATTTTTTGTGAATAGACATATTCCCGAAATCCTACTCAGTTTCGAGAAAAAAATTCCTTACCGAAAATCTAATTTGCCTAAATTTTTTGGCGAAAAAAAATTTGTCAAATCATTCTAAAAAAATTATATTCCGTTCCAGGGCTCGATTACAATTATTTTTGACCATTACACATACCCCCGAAATCCTACGCATTTTCAAGAAAAAAAAGTTTCAAATCGTTCTGGAAAAATTAATAAAAAAATTCAGTACAGTTGGAACTTTAAACGTTAATAACTTTTTAACGAAACCTCTATTAACAGATTAGTATTCTTGATTTTCGTCTTATTTTGGCCTCTAGAATCGTCCATTAAAATTTTTCCCACAGGTGACCGAGCACCCTGTATATCACTTTCGATCGAGGCAGACACGTATCCGAATAACCTGTTTGATCGAATGAACGCGACAAATAAATCACCACCGCGCCTCCCCATTCGTCTATTTCGCTGGAATAAAATTTCGCCGTCTCGGGGCGAGCAGCGGCACCGAAAGTAAATGAAGATAAACGGAGTCGATCGCGCGTACAGCGTCCATCTGCAGTGGCGTGCGAACATCGGCGTTTTCAGAACTCGTAGCAGCATCACCTGGGAAGATAGGCAGCGGCAAACTGCCCTCCCCCTCGACTCCCGTTTCGCCGACAGCGAGACGCTACTTCCCTTCTGGGAAGAGGTGGCCGGCTATCCTGTTTAAGTATCCCCGGGCACGCCATCGGCGAATCCTGCGCGCCGCGTCCTTTTGTTTCTCTCTTCGCCCACTTCCCTCGTCTCTTCCACGTTCCCTCTTCGTTCCCGACGGTTCAGATCGATGGCGTAACGAAAGAACCGCTTTCTTGGCCAACGATACACGCGATTTCGATCACCCTTCGTAGCCCCCCCGTACCCCTCTTCGGTTCCCGAGTTCGAGGATTAAAGTCGGTCTCGGGAGCACGTGGCTCGGGACGGAGATAGCCAGAGATAAAATTCTTCGTTCATATTTAGATAAAGGTTTCGTACCGTGAGAAAAAGTTACATTGAGTGACTCGATCGATAAAAACTGAAATCACTAGCGCTGGAAATTATTTAGAATATTCTACGTAATTTGTGTGAAACGAGAGTAAAAAGAAAGGCAAACTAATTTCACTGGTACCGTGTAGGACACGTTTCGTTTCGCGACATCTATCGTCGAAGGGGTTAAGTAGGCGGAGAAAGAGAGCGAAAGAAACGAAAACAATACAGAGATACACTCTATAGAGACGATTCGAGACAACACAGTGAGAGCGTGTTCCGTTCTTGAAATTCGCCCGTTTAAAAATAGACCCATAGGGAGTGCATCGGGCCGCGGGTGAACCGTCGATTACGAGGATATGGTCTGGGTTAGGGAAAAGGCCGCGTAGGTACGAGAAAGCAGAACACAGAGGCTGACCACTTAACTCTTCCTTACGCTACCGACCACATAACCATACAGCACGGCCCGATACTCGGAGCCATTTGGCTGTGCCAGAGGGTCTTGCACGCACCGACCGTAAAACTGGTCCGGCGGAGGGCCACAGCCAGGCAAGCTGCCTTGCATCGTGAGAGACGCAAAGGTTTTTCGGTAGGGCACCTGATCGAGGCCTCCTAATCTGCCGGGCCATTACGATAATACGTTTAGTAGGAAGCCGGGGATCTTCCCTCCGCGCGAAAACAGGTAGGCAGCCAGGGGTACGGGGCGCTAGCGGGGCGGGGGCGGGCGGGAGGGGGGCGGTCGGCGCGCGGTGGCTGCGCAGGAAGAGAAGGAAGAAAAGAAGAACGCCTCTTTCCCAGACCCACAGAACGCGGAGAGCCCGAGCGCGCGCTGGCGTATATACGCTTACTCTCTTTGTGCCGGATGCGTGCCGCCGGCGGAGTAGCAATAGCGGACGAACGTCCGGTCTCCTCTTTCTCTCGCTCTCTGTTTCTCTCTCTCTCTCTCTCTCTCTCTCTCTCTCTCTCTCTCTTGCGCTAGCCAGCGCTCCTGCTCTCTGCGGAGGCCGATGCACTTCGATCGCATCATCGGGCACCACCTCTGCGCTGCCCTACTGATGGACATGCTTAATTACTCGCGCGTTTCGGTCCGCGCCTCTTTCTCCCGGACTCCATTGTCGCTCGACGAAACTGGACCACGATCACCGGCGCGCCGAACATCGAATCGCGCTCGACGTTGGAAGTCCCTCGATACTTACATATATTTTTTAAAGACTTGTTGGAGAAATTCAGTCTAGTAGTGTTTAGATATGTGTAACCTTCACGATATATGGACCTGTTGTTTAACCCCTTCAAGCACGAAGTATTTTATTTGCAACAAAGGGAAATTTAACCATGAATATTTGGAGGTCGATCGAGACTTAAATTAGCGTTATAAAATATTATTTAAATTATTCGATGCTTAGATATATTTTTGATAGTACAGTAAATCTTTTCGACACGGTACGAAAGACCTATTGGTGAAATTCAGTGTAGTAGTATTTAGGTATTCGTAACCTTCACGATATATGGACCAGTTGTTTAACCCTTTCAAGGACAAAGTATTTTATTTGCAACAAAGTAAAATTCAATCAAAGGAAATTTAACCATGAATATTTGGAGGTTAATCGGGACTTAAATTAAGGTATTAAATATCTGTACCTGGGGAGCAAATTTGAAACAGATGTATATAGCAACGTTTATCAGTTAGTTTGGGGTGTAGAATATCCCTGTTGATTTTACGATCGTTTCCCCTGACCCATCTCGTGTATAGCGCGTGTGGGGTTAATTGGTGGCAAATTGAAATTGACTCGAACCAGGGAACCGCGAAAATTGGTTGAATCACGACGCTGATACAGCACGACGTTGTGGGTATGGGACACCCCGGGAGTATTGGTAGATGCACGAGGATTCTGTGACGAACAGAGCAATTAATTCCCTCCCCTCGGATAGCATCAATCCTTTACGAAAGAGCACAGTCTCCACATTCTGACCACTGAAAGATTCCACTGCTTATCAACAGTGATAATGATGATAAAACAGTGAAATGATCTTGTTTAACAATTTCATTGTAATTCGATATTTCAAAAATTTATAAAAATTTAAATAATGTTGAATAAATATATTTTCGAAAATATTTTTTTTTTGAGGTTAGAAAGTTATAATTTCGATTGTCTGTTGCAGAAAAAGTACTGATAACGAGGCTGACCACCCAGAAATGGCTGGACGTCGGACGGAACTGGACGGAGGACGAATACAGGAGCGCCCATTCGAAGATGGTGTACGAGTACAGAGTGACCTGCGTGGCGCACTATTACGGGAAGGGTTGCGAGAACCTGTGCCGGCCGAGGGACGACAATTTCGGCCATTACAGCTGCAGCCCGACCGGGGAGCGCGTCTGCCTCTCTGGATGGAAGGGCGACTACTGCAATACCCGTAAGTATACCCGCTGTTATCATGCGTGCACTCCCACGCTTCCCATCGCGACTGCACCGCGCGTGACATCCCTCCTTTTGTCGGAATTCCGTGTATGAAATTACAGAGACGGTCCTCTCTCTCTCTAGCGCGCTCTCTCAGTCCCCTCTGTTACTCGCTGTGACCAGCTCTCCTGGTAATTCATACTGTTAGCCTGTAACCGGAGACCCCGAGGCTGTCGAATTTGCGATTTTTTTCACGAATACCCCGCGACGGCTACAACAGGAACCACAGACGTAACGATCTATCGTACCCCGCCGGTTACGCAACTGTCGTGACAATAAGAATTTTAGAACGCGTTAGGATCGAACCGTTGGAGCTAGAAATGTGTCGATATATCATGGAGATGGTAACCTTTTACATTAAATATTTAACAGTGAAAAATAAAAAGAAAAAGAAAGTCGATTTTTTTATGACGAAATAGATTTAGATTAAATATATTACACCGACACTTATTTCTAGTTCATTATACTTAGCTTCGTTAATTAATGAGGAAAGTAGGAACGAGGACGAAATCCATGGGTTCCGTACGACAGCGTGTTTCGAACTGATCGTAGAGCGGCCGCGTGCCCTCAACGTTCTTCGCGCTGTGCTTATACAAACAGTCGTTTCGCCGAACTCGAGCGTTACGAAAGCGCGCCGAGTGTATTGTCGACGACGGGCGAAGTGTGTTCGTGTTTGTGTTCGGTCTTCGAAGAATGGAAACCCAACAGGGGATAGAAACACCGCGTTGGAAATAATCAGAACTAAATTGTTAAAGTCTTTGGCTAATTTATCTAGAACCGAGACCAAGTCGCTTCTGTAAAAAAGATACTCAATAGATACATAATATTATTTAATATTTCCCCTTCCCCGGAGGGTAACGGAGAACCCCGGAGGACCCCGGGATAGAAGATGGAAGACGAGTAGCGGGAGTCGTTTAGTCCCCTTTCCAGAAGGTGTGAATCTCTTTGGAAACTCATCCAGGGTTCCAAGAGAGCCCTCTCTTTCTCTCTGTCTTTCTCTCTCGAGGTTATATAACGTTCACTCCGGAACGGTCTGTCCGCCGAGCGTTGTACGTTCTCGCTCGTAGCACGAAACTCAACAAACTCGACGAGTCCACGAAGGAGAGGCCCGGTGCAGTGTCGATGCAGCAGTCGGGTCCGAGCGTGCAGCAGCTTCCCACGCTTGGTTCGCGCGTGTGCGAGAGAGTCTATCTCCGTTTCTCTTGCCCTCGTCCGGTCCCGTCTGCGCCACTCCGCGCCCGTCCTTTTCCCTGCCGCCCCGTGCTTCTTATCCAGCATCCGTCCTCGTCGCTCGTCCGCGTACCTGAGCCCCCGACGAACGAAGGATTAATCCGTGTGTACGTGCACGGTCTCCGCCGTGTCTGTCCGCTTTCCGCGTACACGCTCGGCCTCGGTTCGTGCGCACCAACAGGAGAGGCGAACTTCTTCTCCTTCGTGTGTGGCTCGTTCCGTCTCGACGACGCCACGCTCTCGTGAAAATCCTACCGAAGTATGTTTTTCGTCGATATTCCGATCCGTAATTGTTTGACAAAAATCTGTCCATACGGATCCACTTGTTTGATGGACTTGAATTCCACTTGAAAAGTCCACGAGATAGGATTGATTTTCGATTTATTGTTGTATCACAGAGTTCTGACCACCAATTTTGACTACTTCTCGTTGTAAAAATGAGAGTGGTAGATATATAGGGTGTTAGGTCAACCGTGGGAAAAATTTTAATGGGGGATTCTGGAGGCCAAAATAAGACGAAAATCAAGAATACCAATTTGTTGATGGAGGTTTCGTTAAAAAGTTATTAACGTTTAAATTTCCGCTCATAATGAATTTTTTTCTCAAAAATGCGCAATATTTCGAGGGTATGTCTATTCACCTTAAATGGTTGTAATTGGCCCCCGCAACTGAAAATAATTTTTCCAAAACGATTTGCAATTTGTCTTTTTCGTCGAAAAATTTAGGCATCTTCTCGAATTTTTTTCTTGAAAATGCGTATGATTTCGGGGTTATGTCTAATCACCAAAAATGATTGTAATTGACCTCCGGAACTGAAAATAATTTTTCCAGAGCGATTTGAAATTGTTGAATTTAATTGTTAATAACTTTTTAACGAAGCCTTAAATGAAAAATTGATATTCTTGATTTTCGTCTTATTTTGGCTTCTACAATCTCCCATTGAAATTTTTCCCAGCTGTGAAGAAAGAACAAACTTAACACTTGAACTGCCATGTCACCCATATATGGGCAGCAGGATTTTATGATACTAGAAAAATTAATTCTCAAGTTAAGACGTTAAGGGAAATAAATCTGGATATAATTTGCGAATTTTAACAATTTTACAAAAATAATTTTTAAAAAATAAATTTTAGGTTATGTAGCTTGCAATGTCTGAAATGAAAATTTTAGTTTTGCAATATATTATACTGTTTTGATCTGGCAGTGAACGTGTTAAAAAAATAAATAAATAACAGTGGACTAGAAAAGTATCGAGGTACGTTTCCAGCTCGTCCGTAGATGTATGCCTCCGGTCGATCCGGGCACAGGTTACAGCGGCACCTGGTGCGCCACCGGCGGGCACAAAGAGGGCCCCGGTCGCCATGCTTTCTGGAATTTCGTTCCTCTGGCTCTTTGTCCGGATGAAATGCCTTGCGATAGACCACGATGAGGTCGGCCAGGACCCCGAGTCGAATAGGTTCCCGTTTCGCGGAGCCACGATGGCATCCGAGATTTCGACGCCCTTTTGCTTCCTTTGGCCGGCGCGGCGAGTCATTACATTCCATGTCCGCGGCTAAGATTCGCGCCGGAGTTTCAACAGAATGGCATTCGCGTACGGTCCCGGGAATCGGGGGAGCCCCGAACGCTCGCCGATCGCTGGAGCCCCTGCATCCCTGCGATCAAACGCCGCGTGGATTCTCGAAACTCCGAAATACCGACGATCGCGCCGCCTAGGAGATATCGTAGCGAACGATCAGAATTTCTTTCTATCGAGACGCGTCGAACAGAGGATAAATTCGCACCGTCGTCGAGGAGTCTGTTAATTTGTTCACGTTAATTTGTTCTCCTACCTTTCGTTCCTGACCTTGTGCAGTCTTGAAGGTCACGGTGGTACGCAACCTGTAATTAAATATGTCTCGAGGGAAACTGTCACATTGTATTCTTATTGCACTGCTGTAATGCCATCTAGATTTTTCACGTCATATTATTACACGTAGCGAAAATGCGTAATAATGACATAAATCTAGATGGTAATACATGGTGATCCACCAAGGATTTCAATAAAGATACGTGCAGTAAAATTCCGTGTCTCGAGCGTGTTAAAGGATTCACGTAACCAAAGGAAGCTAACGAATTCGTCCCAACCCGTCTGACTGCGATATCGACAGCCGTTGCCTGCCCTCCCGTTCTCGGACGTTTTTTTTCTCCGCCGAAAGGGGCACACCGGGTCAGCTGAGCAAACGCTCCGCGAGAGCACAGACGCACGGGACGCGCCGCCGGGGCGATTCGCTGTTAAACGGGCCCGACGGGACGGGTGGACTCGCATTCTTTACCGAAACGAGAAATCCCGTTCTCACGGAACTCGTCCGCGAGGCAAGTTCAATTTCAGAAGTGCCCGGTTTCGTCGAGTCTATTTCCAGTGGTAATTAACAAGGCCCCGGGCGCTCCCGAGCATCGCAATAAAATCGAGCGGGGGGGAGAGGTTCGCATGGGCCCGGCCGCCGCGCCGGTAAATCGCAACAATGCTCCTTTCTCATCGCGTCGACGGAGGCGGAGGAACAGGAAGGCGGCGAAAATCCTGGAAACGTCGGCGTGGGCGTGCTTTCTCGGGGCCGTGGCACGTGAGAACAGATCGGCCGATCGCGGGACGTCGAGAGTGGCCCCCGCGCGTCCCCTCGCGAGCTCGACGCGAACCCGGGCGTCCACCGGCCGCGCGGCGCGCTCGCGAAACAGCGCACGAACGAACGATTCCGCGAAAGCCATGGAATGCCACGAAATGAAGAGTAAGCAGTCTATTAGTAATCGATGCGCGGAGGAACTTTGTCGAGCGGCCGGGCCCGAGTCAGAGTGCAACGACCGATCGCCACCGACCGCGGCGAGACGGAGAGAGGACGTGAAACTTGCCCGGCGATGAGAGCGCCCGTGGCTCGCAGGAAGGACGAACGGGGAAGGTCGGACGCATCGGACGGACCGTACGGGCGTTCGCGCCGCTCGAAGCCCGAATTTACGGTGTCGCGTTTCGACCAAAGCTCCCGCCACTTGAGGCGAATTTACACTGTACGATTTCGTCGTGAATCCCAGACTGGTTGACTCGCGATGAATTCGTGGTAAATTCGAGAATACGGAGTTACGCTTTTGGTTCGTGTTTTTATACGATGCAGAGAGTAAATAGAGAGCTGCTGCAAATGGGTTAACGAAGGCAGGGACAGAGAGACACGGTGAGGGTAGGCATATTTTCGGGGGTGCCAGGACATGGAACAGGGGTTGCAGAGGCAGCTGCAACACGGTCGAGGCGAGGCTGGCCGAAAGCGACCGAGCCGGGGCCCCTGACAGCTGCGTCGATGCTCTCTCGGCGCTTTAACCAACAGCTGCACCGGCCTCGCGCGTTCACAGTCCACTTCCATTTCAAACTCTCTCCCCCCTCCCTCCGGCCCCTTCTGTCCCCGGTTCTCCGTGACTCTGGTTATTTTTTCCACCTCCTTGTTCGTCTTTATCGGGTTCTGGGTGTACCTGCCGAACCGTCGGTTTCCTTCGTCTCCCGCGCCGCGGGACAATGCAGCACGGGGCAGGTAGACTTAGAGGTAGGTTAGGAGACACTGGGGGGGGAACGGTGACGAGCGTAGAACCGCTACCTCGTACGACTCACCCCCGGGGTCTTCGGTTCGCGCCCTTTCGCGAAAGGTCAGGCACGAAACGGTCGGTTACCGGTGCTCCGGCGGAAAGGAAAAATCGATATGTACGTTGGGCCACGGGGCCGTGAAACTCGAGGGGGAGAACGAGACGTATTCTCCTCGGTCTCTACGGGCTTTGGTCGTTTAAAGGGAACCGACCTCGTTTAACCGCCGGCAGACACCACGGCGGCGCTCGAACGGTCGTGAAATTCAGGGACAGTGTCCTATTCGGGGCCGCAGGTTGCGGTTTCGCGGAACCTCCCGATTAATGCCTCTCCGTCGGTCGCCGGACGTCAACTGTTGCACCGCAAATACCCGGAGATTTAGGAGAGCACTGACCCAGAGGGCGTGCGAGTCTGGAAACTTCCATACACGTTTGGTCGTATCGAGGACTTAAAAAAATGACTGAAAAATTTACCAAAATTAAAAATAACCATTGCAAATATTTCAAAAATTAAAAAAAAAAATATTAATTTCTGAATCTTTTGGTTATACGATAATCGTTATTTGGAATCTGTTGATGAAAAATCGAAGTCGTACGGTCCACCAGGTTTCTAGTACGAACAAGAAAGTCACACTTAACCTCGTAGCCTGTTCTCTACGCGAGTATATTAGGAATGACACTGACACTGACATTGGCGTATCAAAAACTAGGACCATATTCTACCTGTGTATTGTTAACACTGTTATAAAATGTTGTGAAGGCAGAAATAGTATGAAATAAATTAAAAGATTACTTAATTCAGTAAGCCACTATAGTGGCGCATCGTGCCTAAGAGGTTAACCCTTTGCACTCCGAATTATATTTAAATTTTGTTACGTTAGCTAAAAAGTAGGGCAAATTTAAACAAACAGAGGAACAAACAAATTCAATTAAATTTTATTTACATTATTGTTGTATTTTTTAATTTTCAAGTGTACGATATCTCCTTGGTCTGGACTTGAAAAAATGTCGAGTCACGCTCGACATAGGTGTGCAAAGGGTTAAACGCCACGAGAGAGTCGAGGCGTGTATTACCACAGCGACGTGCGTCGTCGATCCAAGTTTAAACGCGGCTTCGAATCGTTGCCGTAATCCGGAGTTAATTCAGGAACCCCGCTGCCGGGACAGATCGTCTTTTTGCCATCGGTCAGAGGGGGCCCGTGGAATCCGTGCGATTCGGGCATTCGTTGGCCGTTCCGCGGGATCGACGACGCTGGAGCGGCCGGTTGGACGCGAGGCGACGAGTATCGTCCCTCTCGTTTTCTTCGCTCTATAAATACTCGCGGCTCCTTAGCGCTTCGGTCTCTCGCGAGCCTCGTCGAGCGATGAGGGCCGCTCCGTGGGCCGTTGCGCTCGGTGCCAAGGTCACGCCGGCCCACCAGCCCTCTCCGGACTTCGCCTTGGCCCCCACCGAGCCGAGGATTCGTCTCTCCATCCCGGCACGAACCACCTTCAACCCCTTCATTCAGGAAGGCACCGGAGTCCTTGGTTTATTTTCCACCGAGAATCTTCGCAATAACATGGTAGCAGAATTCTATAGATATGATCCTATTATAGGATTCGCTTAAAGCAGATCAAGATCATAGTGACCGCTTCAGAAAGTTGTTTACTTGCACAAACTTTCTAACCTAGAAATCTTCTTAAATCTGTACTTTTAAAATATACACTTTTATGTGTCGACAGAGTGTAAGGATTTAGGCTAGGAAAGAATCGTTCCTCGCGGGTAGATCCCCCGACGATAGGGTCTACCAAGTCGGAATAATGTGGCAGCAATTAGGTTTAGAAAGTGGTTTACCCAAATACAGCCCAATCCCGTACAGATAATGATAAAGTCTAACCGGGCTAGAATATTTTATCCTTTTCTATATAAATGGGGAACATGGTAGCAATTCAGGTTCTGACAATGTTTTTCCCAGGCGTAGCTATCCTCGACAGAATTCCAGTTCCAGTGGTTCGATCTTTTCGGTGTGCAATGTATGAACCGGGTTATGGATTATGAGAACCCGGCCCAACAGTGCAACTATGCTGTTCCACCGTTGTTTAGGCGTTCCAAGTATTTCTGAAATTCTTGTTTAGAATGTTGGGAGAATTCATCGAATCTTTGAATTCCTTCACCAACACAGTGCACTAAAATTTATAGAAGCCACGAATTTTAGGATTTCTGGAATAATTCCCTAGGAAAAAACAGCTGTCGATTATGCATTCTGGGGGACAGATTTCGTGGATACACTGGGTCCTATTCTCGCATTCGAAAATACACGTCGAAATACGGCCTCGAACTTTCGGGCTCGCTAACGAGATTCAGTGCTCTGCCCCCCCCATTCCACCAAGTTCGTTGCGAAAGAACGATTCGTCGGGTACACACGGGTTACACAAACCGTTTAACACTTTGACTGCCACGTCATCCACATATGGGTGACAGGATTCTTTACTATGGAACTAGAACAATTAATTCTCAGGATAAAATGTTAAAGTTGAAATTTAAACAGAATTCATGAGTTATAAAAATAAATGGTAAAACAAATTTTAAGTTATGTAGCTTATAATTGTCTAAAATCAAAGTTTTGGTCCCGCGAAGAATTGTATAGTTTTGGTCTGTCAGTCAATGTGTTAAGCGGCACGTGCGACGAGGAAAAGTCACAGGGGACGCGTCGTGCGCCCCGTTTCTTCCCAGAAAAAACACATACCTTCGAACATTATCGATCCCCTCGAAATTACTTATATATCCAAATAAAAAAAAGGTTTCATTCAACTATGTGCACATATTAATTTCAAAAAATAATTGTATGGGATTAAAGTCGTCGGTTCAAGGGAAAAATTTAATAGGCACTTATCTCGAGAAAAAAAAGCAGCTTTTTTTTCTGCTTCTGTGACTATAGACAGTCGTGCATACGTCCTCGGTCGTCCTCGACGGAGCGTACGATCGTCCCAATTGCGTGACGCGTCCTGCACGGCGCACGTAACACCGAGCCGGTGGCCGGGAGCCAGCCAGAAAGAGTTTTGGATATTTGCGGACTGGACAAGCCGCCCGACACGTGACACAATTTCGTTACCCTTGCCAGGCCCGCGTGCTGTCACGCCGGCAATCATCGTTCCATCGTGTTTCCACCCTCCCTTTCGGTCTCCCTGCATTCCAATAATAGCGGGAATCCTCCGACCTTTTCGGGCGCAGCAACGCCGCCGCCGCGCGGAGAAATAGGGAACCAACCGGGCGTGTTTCGTGCACGGTCTCGAATTGGCCAATTAGCAGGGGCGTTAGCGGCGATAAGATAAGGATCGTCACACGTGACACAATTTTATCAGCCTTGCGGTACGCGAGCGACGCGGACGTATCGTCGACAGGTACGTGCAACTATGCCGGGCATCGGTCGGTCAGACTCCGTTCCCATCCGTGATTCCCGGAAAACGAGAACGATGTTCGTGGTACATATGACATAAATTTTAATCAGACGACCCATCGGGAATTCGAGGCGCGAACGATCTCCTCGTCGTCTTTGGGAATCGACTGCCCCCCTCCCGCCTCTCGCGTTCCCAAAGAAAACACGAAAGAAACGTTTTCGGTGGGTCGATTAATTGGAACTACTAACATTCTGTCCGCCGCGCCACCTATGTACGGACGACACGGAGACTTTTTTTTGCCGCGGAATAAATTGGATTTCTCTGGAGGCGTCGATGGAAAGAAAAGTTTTCGTTGAATCTTGGCGATAACCGCGAGTCGTTTTCGTTTAAATAAGCAACGGTAGCCCGCGGTTCCTTTGACGAGCCACGAAGCTCGACGTCGAGTGGACCGTGTTGTGTAACCCGATCCCGTCTCGAACATCGATAGGGCGAACACGCGTAGTGCCCAATGCAATGGTTCGCGTTCTCTGTTGTCATCGTTTCTTCTTCGTTCGTTGTCCTTTTCTATGTCCGGCGAGATACAAAGTCGAACGTAACTCGTCTCCCCGTGTCTTTTCGAGAACTGAAAATCGACACCGTGCTTTTTAGAACTGGACTTCGGGGTCCCCTGTTTGTTTGTTATTCGAGCGTAGCTGCATCGAGACAAACACACAGTCGTACCGTGCTAAAAACATCGGTTCTCGTCTCGAAAAAAAATGTACATCTAACTCCATCAATAGAATGCACGATAATAATTCTCAGGTTCAGAAAGTAGTGTACAAAGGGATACCCAATCTTTTGAGGCTTATTGGTCCAGCATCTAGACCAATACTAATAATGAAGATCGTAGTAATTGAGGTACACAGTCCTCTCTGCAAATCCTCGAGTAATGGAGGTTCGTCGCGACAACAGCAACCGTCGAACACCCTCGACAACTCCGAGTTCGGAATGCACCTAACCTAAACTTGACCCAAACTTTTCTAGATCCCGTACAGGTAGTGTCTAGCTATCTGTATCGATAAATAAGATCCTAGCAATTTAAGGACAGGGGGCATTGTACTTGGGGGGATTTATCCAATACTCTATAGAAGTCTACTTGCTCGAAGTAACGTACACGTTCGTACAGTGCCAGATTTCATCGAATCAGGTTCACCAAGTGCTCCCGTGGACCCGGGTACACCCAAACTAGCGGAGATCCTGTGTAGGTCAATTGCTCCGAGCATAATAGTCCATCGTCCCTATACCGATGGCATAGTAAGAACGGGGACAGCCTGTCAAGTTCGAATGCATCCGACAGGTAGGGCGTCTCGGAACGGTGTAGGAAGACACGCCGTCAATTACGACGTGCCCCAGCAGTTAGCCCGGTACAGTGTAACGCGGCGTATATCGCGCGGTAGTCGAGCGGGTTGAACCGATTTTCCGGCGGTTCGCCGGCAATTTTATGACCGGATTAACAACGACAGAGCCACGGACCCGAGTGCCGGTGAATTATCGAGTTCCAGTACCCGACTACTATAGCTGGAATGCATCGAATGCATCGTATGTACCGGTCGTGCAGTCGTGAGGGACGCGATCGACCTCTTGCGGAGAATTGCCTTAACCTTTTCGATTTTTTCTTACTCGTTTCAGCCCGCTGCCTGCCCGGATGCGACGAGCAGCACGGACACTGCAATCGACCCGACGAATGCATGTGAGTATACGCATACACGATCCTCTCACACATGGAGACGCACCTCCTACAACCTCTGTCTCTCTCTCTCTCTCTCTTTCTCTCTCTCTCGAAGTCTCTTCTACGTGTACAGCTACTCTTCTTCGCTGATATTACATTCCTGACTCGATACCCTCTACGCTGGAGTATCGTGTGCACGGGACCGCGTTAATAACGCTTCGATGGATGATCTATTATTCCGTGAAACTCGATCGAAATTTAAATTTGGATATGGAGCCTCACCATGGGAATCGTGGGACACGGTTTCAGACGATGATCTTTTGAAGATGTCGAGCTACATTGGGGGACTCGTTTACGAAGAATCGAATTGTGGAAACATTTATCATTTAATTTTAACACGTTGACTGCCGCGCGTATTTTTACTATTGGTCGCGTCGCTGGTCACCGGAGGCCCCCGTGGCGCTGTAGTCGAATCGAGTGCCGGCCACCGGTGACCCCCACGATAGTCAACGTGTTAACACTTTGACTGCCACGTCACCCATATGTGGGTGACAGAACTTTTAACAGTGAAACTAAAACAATTAATTCTCAAGTTGAAATGTTAAAGAAAATAAATTTTAATAGGCTTCGTAAATTTTAATGATGGTTACGAAAGTAACCACGACAATTTTTAAGTTGTGTAATTTACAATTGTCTAGAATCAAAGTTTTGGTCTCGTTGACAATTTTAGGATTTTAGACTGGCAGTCAACGTGTTAAACACGGTTTTTTTTTTACAACGGTTAGGAAAATAAAATTAATAATGGACATCTCGATTTATGAAATCTTCGTTCCGACACGACGGGTGTATTTTACCATGGAAATGGGAAACATCGTTTGAAGAATATTTCGAAGTCCCCTGCGAGGCTCGTTGAAATTAACCTTTAAGCCACCGAACTACCCGGGAGCCAATCGCGATGGCATTCGATGCGCCGTGAAAAATTTCATTTTCACTCGCGTTCGCGGCTGGAAACGCGTTTCGATTTCTAGGGAATAGCTCGGATTCTCTCGGTTTACGTTAATTGGATTTTAGGTATTCGCCGTGAAACTATACTCCCGCGAGGCCCGTAAGAGGAATCCCGCGGGATTACGACCGCCCCGTGGCACTAAATCGAAATGTTATTACCAGGAATGAATTTTCTCGTTCCTGTCCGGTTTGCCCCGCCGGTAGAATTTCAGGCGCCGTTTGTTGGATAAATTTTTACGAAAATGTTTAATTTTTTGTTGTACTCGATACCGGTATTTATGAAATATTTAAAAAACGAATCCCTAACCTTGAGTTCAGTTTCGTGACTTATCGCGACGCCTTTTTTAATTCCGCGGGATTACAACGACCCCTCGTGGCACTAAATCGAAATGATATTATCAGAAATGAATTTTCTCGTTCCTGTCAAAAATCATAGCTTCTAAACTAGTCACACTTTTTTAAAGGGAATACAAATAATACATTTTTGTTAAGAAAAATTGAATCGAGCTTGATTTTTTGTTGCATAAAAATTCTTTTGCTAAATTCTACTATTGCAAATTTCTTGTCAAGTGATTGCTGTGTGACTTTTGTTCGAAATGTTTTTTAATTGGCTTAGAGGAAAACGTTGAATGGGAGATTCCACAGGCCAAAATAAGACGAAAATCAAGAATATCAATTTGTTGATTGAGGCTTCGTTAAAAAGTTATTAACAATTAAATTCCAAAATTTCAAATCGATCTGGAAAAATTATTTTCGGTTACGGGGGTCAATTAGAATCATTTTTGGTGAATAGACATACCCCCGAAATCTTTCACAGTTTCGAGAAAAAAATTCAATAGTTGGATAAATTTTTCGACGGAAAAAAAATCATCGAGGTATTTTTAAAAAATACGTAATTAATAATTTTTTTTACTCGATACCAGTATTTATAACAATATTTAAAAAGGAATCCCTGACCTTGATTCCAGTTTCGTGACTTATCGCGGCGCCATTTTTCATGACTATCTTCCGTCCACCCCTCTTGGAGCGGCCATTTTCATCCCTCCCCCTCCCTCTCCGTTTCGCAGACAAGAACTTTTGTTTCGCCGCGAAGAGTGTCGTTGAACCCTTTCTAATTCGATTCCGCGTCGAAAAAGAAAGGAAGCTGGCGGACCGGGGGCCAAAGAGATCGATTCGGGAATCTCTGTATTTGCCGAGAATCCTGCGCGGCTATAAATACGAGTCATGGTTCAAAGATCCTATTCTTCGCCGGTCTCGGGCGCGAATTTTTCTCCCGGTGGAACGCATTCTTTCGTCCCCGACGACGCGAACTGCAGTCACTGCATAAACTATAGATTTCGACCGTCCACAGAACTCGCGAAAAGAAAGGGAAACGTTTTCGAACGATACGTACCTGAAAACTTCCTGGAAACTTTCAGAAATATTCAGTTTCTTAACACTAGAATTATAGTGTATTTATTTGCACCAAAGAAATCAAAACACCAGATACATGAAGAAATGTATAATGCAATAGAAATAAGTGTTTATTCATTTTCTCACAGAAAATTTCAGTAAATTTTCAAAAATTCAATCGAGTAAATTTTTTACTAATTTTATTAGAAATTATGATTGGGTCATTTTGACTTGGTAGTTCCAGTGTTAATCAACGCGTCAAATCTTTAAAAAAATTTATTTCTATTCGAATATCAAATTAGAATTGTCAAATATGTCGAACTTCAGTATTCAAACTTGAATATTATTATTATTATTTATTAACGAGAATAAACAAATATGGATTTTATATAAACATTATCGCTTATAAAATTTTAACAAAATAAATTAATTTCAATTATAAAATAGTTATAAAATATATTGTTAATCGTTTGTTTTCGTGTACAAAGTTCGTAAGATCGAGGAACGTTGTCGAAGCTTTTAAATTCCGCGATAATTGCGAGAACGGGTGATTCGTCTTTGCTTGAATCTCGGGGTGCGACGTTAACCCGAGGTTTAGAGTCAACTCGATCATCTAATTACTCCACGACCGGGGTTAATTGTCCCGTTAGCAGGCGGCAGCCCGTCGGACCAACAGAGTTCTGACGTCCGCGGGGATCCGTTCTCTCCTCGCCGTGTCGTTGCAGCGAATCGGAAAAATAATATTTTCGAAAATAGATGGTCGAGACACGGTCTCTCGAACGTCCCAGACGACCTGGAATTTATGCGCGTACGAACACGCTCGCGAACTACTCGCGACGGGCTCGTAAATTTGCTCGTCGTGTTTCGGGGCAGAATCTTTTTCGATGGACTTATTTTTCCGTTGCGCGGCTACGTCGGGTTCTCGTCGACACTGAATCCGACGCGTTGTTTCTCGAATATTTTACGCCCGTTAGAACGCTAGATATAGGGTGTATTTCTGTTCGAATAATAATATTCGACTAGCAAAATATCGGAAACTTTATTCGTGGCTGTCGAACGGTCGTAAAACGTTGGAATAGTCCCAACCGAAATTCGTGGTGTTCGAGCCGGCAACCTCGCACAGACGTCGGCGGAAAGTTCAGTCCGAGCGCAGCGCCGATTTCCCGGTACGAGGCGACTATCGACACACGCGGCGGTAGTGAATCGCGGTTGCATCTAGCGAAACAGGCTCGCGGGATCGCCGGAGAATGTCCGCTGAACGACGTAGTCGCATTCAATACGCCGCGGCAGGGTATAATATGTCGGCATCCACGTATCGTCCTACAATTAGGTTACCACAGTGTTTATTGCCTAGCATTTATAATTCCACCATCTCGCGGTTAACCGTCGTTTAGTCGCTCTTGCCCCGTTCCGTATTCGTATCAGTTTTCCATTTGTTTCATTAACACGATTCACTATCACATCGAAACAGTATGATATTTCGCAAAAGTAAAATTTCTTCTTCTTTTTCTACTTTTTTTTGGTGCGATACTGGCACTATCGACTTCGTAGTAACACCATTTATCTTCTATTTTTAATTTTTAAATTCTCTATATTTCAGACCATTTTAAGCTACATAACCTAAAATTTGTTTCGGCGCTTAAAATTCACAAATTCTATCCAAATTTACATTCTTCAACGTTTCAACTCGAGAATTAATTTTTCCAATATCATAAAGTTCCGTATTCGTATCAGTTTTCCATTTATTTCATTAACACGATTCACTGACAGATCCGAACAGTATGATATTTTGCAAAAGTAACCAAATATAACCTAAAATTTGTTTCTGGTCTTATTTTCGTAAAATTGTTAAAATTCACAAATTCTATCCAAATTTACATCCTTCAACGTTTCAACTCGGGAATTAATTTTTCCAGTATCATAAAATCCTGCCACCCATATATGGATGACGTGGCAGTGAAAGTGTTAATTAACACTTTGAAAGCAAATTCGGGATAAATAATAACGTATATAAATTTTAATTGGACATAGCGAAATATGTATATACGATGGCGCGTGAAAGTTAACAAAACGAAATATTTCCGAAACGAATAAATTTTGTTACGAATCAACGGGCATCGAAAAAGCGATTTCCAGTACTCGGGATACAATTTCTATACGGAAGGAACCGGGGGGAATTTGTAGAAGCTCGTGTGAAATATATTGTACGCGATTAAGATTTCTGGCTGCGTGCCTCTATGCGTGGAAATAGTCGATATGATCGCTAAAAGCAATTGCCGTGAGAGCCTCGTGGGATGTTGGCCCCGTTCGTGATACGTGAAAGAATCGCGGCGTTGGGTGTCCCATTGAAATTTCGGAGTCCGTGTTCGGTCGTGCGCGTGATATCTGAATACCGATGAAGATGCACATCGTGCATCATTTCACGATTCGTCACCCTTTCTCTCTTTCGAGCATAGCTGCGCCCCTAACTGTGCCTATACTTCCGCAATATTCGCGCTAGTACGTTCTTTACGTACCTTCTCAACCATCACTATTTCTATCGCGTACTTCATAACAAATAACTCTTTTTCGAATTCTTTAATTGCGTCCAATCCTATCGTTTATATTTATTTCGATTTTCTGGTCGTTTATTATTAACAAAAGGTCTTGGATTTTATAATAATAATGGCATTGATGTTTTAAAATACAGTGACTTTTTATCTGTTTTCTTTTTGCAAAGGGCAATCGATTATATTAACGAATAATTTTAACTTGTATTATTTTACCGATTACTTTTTTAAACTGCCAATTTTAAATACCGAGATTCTTAAAATATAGTTTCAATTGCCTATATATTTCTATTCAATAATATTTCTAAATACCGATATTTTAGTTTGAATTTTTGCTAGCGCGATCGTTTTGAGAAGCACACCAATCAGTACCAATTAAAACCTCCGATAAATTCCGCCATCGAGCCGGGTTAACCTCCTGCATCCGTGGCTATCCTTCCACCTTCTTCCGCCATCTTGCACAATTCGCTCTAATTACAAATACATTACGATCCCTGACCAGTGTATAGGGGGTACCGCTGAAAGCGGGGCCCCGGTGTCTCCCGCGGCCATCAGAAATCCGTTTCGCGTCCTAGGAAGAGGCTAGAGAGAAGACAGCTCGAAGAATCACACGGATGCTTCGACCGTCTCATTGGCTAGGCGCGTATACAAACGACTACGAATATCCGCGCGGCACAGTTCGGCTCGTTTCGTTCTCTCTCTCTCTCTCTCTCCTTTCGTCTTCGCTGCACTGTCTCGTTCGCTCGCGACGGGGCTCTCTCGATTACGCTCTCGGTGTGTACATGGGATTTAATGGTATAGTCATGCGACGTCGACGGCTGCGGCGGTCTCTCTTTCCCTCCACGGGCCGATATATAGCGATATACATAGAGGCCCGGACGGGTATTAGTGGGCAGAGCAAGGCGCGCGCACACAGAGGAGCGTAACCTTTCCTTGACCCGCATACTGAACGGCTGTGCCGAGGCTCGAACCGTGGGAACACTACTCGACGACTCGTCTCCCCACTCTCCTTCGAATTCTACCTCCTTTACTGTCTCTCTTGGCTAAGGCTCTTCCTCCCTTCTCTCCGTTTCCCGTTCTCCTTCCTCCCGACGTTCCCTTCGGTACTGGTCTCTCGCGCTCGGGGCTCTCGCTCATTCTATTTCTGCCTCCCCCCCTCTCACCCCCTCCACGATCTTTCTCGCTCTTTCTTTTTGTCCGTCCTTTCTCTACGCGCTGCGCCCGCGCGCGCGTTCTCTCTTTCTCCCGCTTCCATAATACCTACATACGTATACACACACCTCTTTCTTCGCCTCCCTCTGTCCTCCTCCGATCGCTGCTCCTGTTCTATCTTTTCTTTCGACCTCTTTGTCGTTCCTGCGCCGGTGTAACCCCCTTGGACATAATGGCCGACGACCACCATATCCTCCTCGTTCCCCCCCGTTTCCCCGCACACGCGGCTGGATCCAGCTCCTTTCTACCTTCTTCATCTCCGCCGCGGCCTTTATCCACCTTTGCGTATCCTCTGTCGCGGTGAGCCTTTCTTTTTCTGTCCGTTCCGCCGGTTCTTTTCCTCCCTTTGCCACCCGCCCCCGGTCCTCTCCTCCTCCACCGACCCGATCGCGAGAGTTCCTTCTTGGAAATTCTTTCGCCGAACTCCGTCGCCGGGGCTTTTCGGCGATCCTCTCGGGCCACGGACGCCCGCGACTCTATCGTCCAGGATTAATCGAAACTGTTAAGTTTGCTGGTCTCCGAGCCTCGGCAGGTTGTAGCAATTTACGGTTGGGATTCTTCTTTATACCAACAGGGCACGTTTAGCAATTCCAAATACAAAATATAGGCGTAATCGAGAGTGTACCTCAATGTGTATACTGGACCAAATTAATGGACACTTTTCTTCCGCACCAACAGAGGGCGACACAACAGTTCAGACTGATGAGTATTACTCGGTTCTACAGACTCTTTGATGATAGGGCCGAGGTATTGAGACTGAATAGCTGTTTTCGGGTAACATTGCCCCTAAGTGGGTACATTAAGGACACCTTTCTATTCCGAATGGAGAGATCGTAGATTGTCTGATGATGGGGTCTGTTAGGGTTGATTGTCCTGGGACACGTTTAATTCTAGGGACTATTATGTGCACGTTTTCATTTAGTTCCAAAACCAATGTAACATTGTGCTGATCCTTCGTTTATAGGATTAGAATAATGTTGCAAAAAGTATGGTGCTTGGAACGTCTCCAGGGGCTTCGAGGGTTTCCGCTCGATCGGCCACGAGATTGATTGCGATCCCACAGTCGATTCGTGTCCTCTTCTTCTCCACTCGCGAGTATCGATTAGCGTTTAACGACCTGAGTAATTAGATTCAAGCCCGCTGAGTGTTTCTCGTTGCAGAGAAGTCACCCGGTAGAGAAGCTCGGTTACCTGGAAACGGGAATTCCTCCTCGTCCCATCCACCTCCTCTTTATTGCGCGCCCTCTATCGCGCTCCGTCATTTTTCATACGCGTGTAACGAGGTCCTTGACATTCGTCGTCGATTGGCTCCGGAGATTCTGATCGCGGTTGCCGAGGGAAATGCGGTTTCAGAGGTCCTTCAAGGGTCAGGAAATTTTCAAAATCTGCTTGAATCGTGTCTCGGATAAGTACTTCCAAACGTTTGGTTTCAAGGTCATTCGAAGGTGATCGATAAAATTTGCAAAAGAAAACTAGGAACGAATATAGTTAGAACAATTTTCAAAATTGTGTAAAAAACTAGGAATATAGTTGAACAATTTTCAAAATTGTGTCAAAAATTAGGAACGAATATAGTTCGAACAATTTTCAAAATTGTGTCAAAAACTAGGAACGAATATAGTTCGAAGAATTTTCAAAATTGTGTCAAAAACTAGGAACGAATATAGTTGAAACAATTTTCAAAATTGTGTCAAAAATTTTAGATAATAATATAAAAGTACACGTAGAAGAGGGTGAGACAGAGGGGTTTCCGTTTGGAACAGTTTCACCCGTCGTGGAAACACAAAGGCGGGTGAATCAGTTTCGATCACTTTCTCCGGTACGATCGTAAGAGAACCAATAACGAACGATGCCTTCTCGATGTTTCCAGATGCCGCGACGGCTGGAAAGGAGCGTACTGCGACCAGTGCGTGAGATATCCAGGCTGCCTTCACGGTAGCTGCCAGAAGCCCTGGGAGTGCCTGTGCGACGAGGGCTGGGGCGGTCTGTTCTGCAACCAGGACCTGAACTTCTGCACGAATCACAAGCCCTGCAGGAACGGCGGCACCTGCTTCAACACCGGCCAGGGCTCGTACACCTGCTCGTGCGCGCCAGGCTTCACCGGCATTGACTGCCAAACGCAGCTTTTGGACTGTCACTCGAAACCGTGCTTGAACGGGGGTTCCTGCACCATGGAGCCATCCTACGGGAACTCCAGCCAGCCGGGCGGCAGCGCCCTCGGTGTCCAGAAACCGTCAGCGGACGCGTCCGCCTCGAGGCAACATCATCGCGCTGGTTACCGTTGCACCTGTCCGCCTGGTTGGCGGGGTCGTCATTGCGAGATCAGCACGAGATCCTGTCGAGATTCGCCGTGCCATCACGGGGCCAGCTGCGAGGATGACTCGTTGCGGGGCTACGTGTGCCGGTGTCCGCCGGGTTACACGGGCAACGACTGCGAGTCCCAGCTCGACGAGTGCTCACCGAATCCCTGCGCCAACGGCGGCAGCTGCACGGACATCGTAAACGGATTTCGTTGCGCCTGTCCCGCTGGTTACACGGGCAACCGGTGCGAGACGAACATCGACGACTGCCAGGGGGATCCGTGTCTGAACGGCGGTACGTGCGTGGACCTGGTGAATCAGTTCCGTTGCCAGTGCGTGCCCGGTTACGTGGGTAGGCTGTGCCAGGACAAGGTGGACTACTGCTTGGCGAAACCGTGCGCGAACGGCGGACGATGCATCTCCGGTACGAACGACTATCGTTGCGCGTGCAAGCCCGGCTTCACGGGCAAGGACTGTAGCGTGGACGTAGACGAGTGTCGCAGCGCGCCTTGCAAAAACGGCGGCAGCTGCATGAACCGAGTGAACAGCTTTATCTGCGAGTGCCCGAACGGTTGGCACGGTGACACGTGCGCGGAGGAGGTGGGCAGCGGTACGGCGATCCTGCCCGCGGCGGCGGCGGCCAGCTCTCCGTCGAACACGCCCGCCGTCGTGCCGGCGGTGCCACCGTCGGGCGCTAGCTCCTGGTCGGGAAATCTGTCGGGCCGCGTGGCGTCCGCGGAACCAAGGGACGCGGGATTGACCACCGAGCACGTGGTGGTGATAGCAACCCTCTCCACCGCGGTGCCGGCGTTCGTTCTTGTGGCGGCGGTGGCCGTGATGTGCATGAAGAGGCGACAGAAACGGGAGAAGGCCAAGGCGGACGAGGAGGCCAGATTGCAGAACGAACGGAACGCGGTGCACAGCAGCATGAGCAAGAGAAGCGGCGGTGTGATGGGTGGTGTGGGCGGCGGCGCTGGGGTTGGCTCGACACCCGGCACCGGAGTCGGAATTGGAAACGTCGGACTTCTCGGCGGAGGCGGTAGCGGGATGATCAGCGGCGGGGGCGGCGGTAGCGTCTGCACCCTGGGCACAGGGGATGCGCACATGATCAAGAACACATGGACGGCGAACAAGAGCGTGAACAACGCCGCGTCCGCCAGACAGGACGACCTCGACTCCTCGTTTCAAACCGACGTCACGCTGGACAGCACTTGCTCGGGTTACAAGCCAGAACCAGTGCTGCAGGACGGACGAACGCGAACGACCAAGCAGCTGAACACGGAGGCGGCAGCGCACAGGGCGTCCCACCTATTCCAGAAGGAAAAGGACTGCCTGGGTCTAGGGTTGGGCATCGGCGTCATGGAGACCGCCAAGAGGTCGTCCGTGTTCGCGGGCAACGCGACGACGGACAGCTGTTGCGCGGCGGAGGCGGCGTTGCTCAAGAGGCCGCCGACCAGTATCGCGGAGGGCGGCGGAGGGCCGCCGGGCAGCGGGGGCGCCACAGACTCCGGCTGCGGGGTGTACGTCATAGACGATCACTACAGGCACGACTCGTCGCTGGCGGCGACGCTCGCGACGGAAGTGTAGTTTCGTAATAGAGAAAAAAACACCCGAGCCAATCGACCCAATGGACTCTGTGTGCGTTTCTTTCACCACGACCGAGAGAGCTGCGCGTTTTGAACTCTTCGATCCTCTTTTCGTTTGTTTACGCGTCGCGTCCCGCGGGGCTCCCCGTCACGGGCCACCGAGCAAACCACCGCGTTTCTTCGCGATTCCTTTGTTTACCCTCCCTCCCGGCGCGCGAGACGTCGCGCGTGAGAACGTTCCACTCGGACTTTGCCGGCTCGTCGAGGGAGGGATGCCCGGGGAGAGGAAGTTGACGCGCGCGTGCGTGTTGCGTTCCGCCGGACGATCCTTCGGGAGAACCCCTATTTCGCGGAAGAAGACTTTATTATTTTTTTTTTATTTTTTTTTTTTTTTTGTATTTTTAAATGCACTGAGCAACTCGACGAGAGGAACAAGAAAGAAAGAATATATATACATACGAGATGCTGTGGTGGCGGACGACGAGCGCGCGGATATCGTCGTCCGACCCGTTCTTAGGTATTAATATTATATCATGCTCGAAGCGCAAACTTTGTACAGAACTAATTTATTATTATTGTTATTTACTATTTGCTATTATTACTATTATTATAATTATTATTAATATTATTCTATCGTATCCCAAGTATCATTGTTCCGAATAGTTTTTCCACGATCTTCGCTGCTACGTCTATTTTTTTTTTTTTCTTTCTCTCTTTCTTTCCTTTTTTTGTCCTCGTATTTCTTCTCTGCCTCTAAACGCGGTCTGCGAGAGACCCGTTCGAGGATACTTACTCGCGCGGCGTGTGTACGTGTGCGTTGTTCCCGTGGTCGCGTGCGTGCGTGCGTGTTCCCCTTCTTCCTCCGTGTGTATATAACTGTGTGTATGTATATGTATGTGCGTCCCCGTCTCTTCGCGCGAGCAAGTCCCGAGAGAGTACCGAGCAACGACCAGAGGAGAGCGTTTGTATGTACCGTGCGTATATAGTTACGAGCGAGAAAGTTTACGACGAATTAGGATTCGAACGATGTCGCCCCTTCGTGAGATTTTTTTTTCTTCTTTTTTTTTTTTTCTTGTCTTTCGGATAACGCCGTTTTCTTTTTTGACGTACGTCGAGATATCGCTTCTTTTCTTTTTTTGTTTTTTTTGTGTCTTTCCTGCCCCGGGACGATGTCGCGCGAACGTGGAACACGGAGGAAACGGCTTCTGGGTCGCGTCACGAGGCAATTCGAAAACACTGCAAAGCATTCGAGCCCCCCGACACTTTGGGATTCTCCATTTTCATGGCAACCCCGTTTTGTCGGGACTTTCAGTAACTTTTCAATTTTACATTTTTAACGACGTTAGAGGAATGGAAAAGTCGAATGTCGAGTTTCGTTCCTCTAACATGTCAAATGCTAAATAAATATCTGTAGAATCTTTAGTTTCTGGTCCATGCTTATATTTTTGATTTCAATTCACATAACCTATCTTGCGCTTCTTTTCGAATATGTAAATTAACTTGCCTCGTTTGCGAAATATTGTATCGTCGACGCGATCCGGAAAACGTAAGGGCCCTCCTTCGTCCACCGCCGAGCATCGTCCCCGCTCCATTCGATCACGAAACATAACTAACCTCGAAATTCGTCGTTCGACCGAGATTTTTCCTTTATTGTAAATATTTTGGAACAGGACGGAGGAAAGCCCGCGAATTTTTGTAACACGTTAGTTAACAGTTTTTTATTTTCCGGTAAATACCATTCGATCGGGCATTAATAGATGAACGAATTGTAATCGCGATTATTCTGGTCACTTTTCTAGGAACATTCGAGGGGCTTTCCTTTCTCCGACGTTTCGGAATCTTTTCGTTGCGGCACGTAATTCGGTGAAACATTCACTCTCGATATGTATAAACGGATAAATAAATAAATGAATATATAAATATATAGATAGAAAAAAAATATATATAAAAGGTATATATATATATATATATATATATAAATATATATATGTAAATGAGAAACCGGCGTCGTCGTCAACGGCGTTTCGACGACGGGACGGGTTTATCCATGTTTTCGAAGTCGAAGTCCGCGAGAAAATTCCCTAACCTCGATTTATGAACAAATTCTCGTTTTTGGTTTAAATCGATCACGATGTTATTCGCGGTAAAATTTCAAAATTTACGTTGCACCTTCCTGACTGTTAGAATGTTTATGAAATTGTTTAAACAATTGTCTCGCCCGCTTCGACCGCGAAACCCGCGAACAAATGACGATTATGTGTTGTTATCGCACGGTTGATAATAATTATTTATTTATATGGATGATAATGCTGAACAAACGATGATTGATGTACGATGCTGCGCTGATGATTATGATGCCGATGCTGCTGATAATGATTAACGATTATGATTACGATAAACGATGATGATCGACACCGGTTCACCGGCGGCGCTAGTTTCGCCGATCGATTGACGCCGGCCGGTGACAAAATATTATTGCTGATAGCGATTATCACACCGATATAATGTAGAAAGCGTACGATGACGATGTAACGAACAAAGATTCGATGATGTTCCTGTTAATAAATAATAATGATAATTAAATAAACGAAACACGACTACCAACACACTTTGAGTCGGGTCACAATTTTTTTCGGGTCTCGCTCTCGAGGGCAGTGAAAAATCGTAAAATGGAGAGAAAACAGTATGGAAAAAAAAAAAAAAAAAAATTTAATAACCATCACGAATGGGAGAACGAACGGAAAAAAATGGAGGGCGGAGCGGCTTTGTCGAAATTGTATTTATATAACGAAAAACGAAAAAAAAAAAATACATATAAAAAGAAAAAAAAACGAAGTGTGCGCCACCGGCACGCAGCGTCGACGACGCGAAACAGAATCGATTCCGACCACGGGAGCCCCGAGATCGATCGATCGCGCACGCGTCGCTCGGTCCACACGACGCTGAAGATGCCGGCTATCGTCGACCCGTAATTAACGTGATACACGTACGTATAAACGATTATATTATATGGAATACAATGTGTAATAAAGCTGTTGTCATTTTTTGTACTTATACTTCCTTCGACTCGAACTTGATTTTTCGACCGTGGTTGCGAAAACACGAGACAATACCACCCACAAACACCCCCCCCCCACCACCATCGCCCCCTGCCGTTGGTCTTCCCCCTCCACTCGTTTTCCCGTGCTCCGATCCCTCGTAGAGATTCTCTTTTCGTCCGATCGTATCGTGAATTGTATTCGTTCGTTTCCCATGGAAAACTTATTTATTTATTTAAAGAAAAATATTTTTTATTTTTTATTTTTTTTTTTTTTTTTAACTCTTCGTAACGAATCGAGAACCGACTTCCCGGGTATTTTTGCTTTTTTTTTTTTCTTTGTTATTTTCGTAAGATGCATTGATACGTTTGCGAGGAAAAGAGGAACGGTATTATACGTATATATTTATATATATACGAAGTGTAAAGATTCCTAGGCGTGTCCGTGATTTTCTGTCCCATGTGTAAAAAAAAAAAGAAAAAAAATAATGCGGAAGACAACGTACTGTTATATATAAAGGTATAAATATATAAATATGAATATAAATATATAAATATATATATAATATAGACGCGCATACACACGTTGCGGATCTGTATATTTGTAGTGGAAATGTACAATGATTACGATTTACGAACTTGCGATTATTATTACTATTTTTATTATTATTATTACTATTTTATTATTATTATTATTATTATTATTATCGTCAACGTGTATATAGAATGAATTGTCAATATAATGATGTCACGCGAACGACAGTGAACGATTAATAATGATACATTAAAAGAATCTCTGTGTCCTTCAATTTTCACCCTCCAATTTCGTCACGACCTACAGGGTGTTCCGACACCCGTGGGAAAAATTTTAATGCGTTATTCTAGAGGCCAAAATAAGACGAAAATCAAGAATACCAATTTGTTGATGGACGATTCGTTAAAAATTTATTAACAATTAAATTCAAACGTTTCAAATTGTTTTGGAATAATTATTTTCAGTTGCGGGGGTCAATTACAATCATTTTTGGTCATTACACCTACCCCTTGAATCCTACGCACTTTCGAGAAAAAAATTCCTTACCGAAAATCTAATCAGGTGCCTGAATTTTTGGACGAAAAAAAAAAAATTTCATATCCATCTGGAAAAATTATTCTCGGTTGCGGGGGTCAATTACAATTATTTTGAGTGAGTAGACATACCCCCGAAATTTTACGCAGTTTCGAGAAAAAAATTCGAGAACGTGCGAAATTTTTCGACGGAAAAAAAAATTTCAAATCGTTTTGGAAAAATTATTTTCGGTCGCGGGGGTCAATTGCAATCATTTTTGGTGGATAGACATACCCCCGAAATCCTGCACATTTCCGAGAAAAAAATTCAGCACGAGCGGAACTCTAAATATTAATAACTTTTTAACGAAGGCTCAGTCAAAAAATTAATATTCTTGATTTTCGTCTTATTTTGGCCCCTAGAATCTCCCATTAAAATTTTTCCCACGGTTGACTGAACACAAAATCTCATGAATTTTTAATAAATTTATTGAGCCGATTAGTAATTTCTACATTTCTTAAAATAATTCCCACCGATCTGAGTATTAAAATATAAATTTCAAACATTTAAATTTCCACGACTTCCGGTGCAAATATACCCCATATAAAACCGGAGACAGTAAAAGTAATCGAGTCTTTAAAATCCAGAAAATTTGAAGTGACTATTTTACAATATTGTCAAAAGTAAAAATGTCGAAAAACAAGCCGATAATTAAAAATTTAGAAGTAATCTAGAATTTGTAAATTTCAGAGCCATGTGGTATTGTTCGGTTTAGTTGAGGATCAGGGGGTGGGGGAGGGAGACGTTAAGAGAGAAACTGAACCACGTTCGAGGAGTTACGCAATGCACGCTGAATCCTTAAAGGACGTTCGCGACCATGCACGCTGATTTCCGCGCTGGGGCCCGTTTGCGCAGTCGGGGCACGCATGCATCGCGACAAAGTAGCCGCGAACGTGGCCGTTTGTGGG